GATCGTCTTGCTAAAAACATGCAGCGCTGCTCAAACGTTCTCTATTAATAAGCAGACCGATGTTGAACCCATTTAGCCCACGAAGGGTCCAAGACAGACTCTGAATCATGGTAGAATTTATGAAATCTTATATGATTTAGTCTGAGTCAAAGAACAGTCTGTGGGTTACTGGATAAAACTATAAGCATGACTACTTCTGATCAGAATCAGAATCAGAAGGGTTTTGTTGCCATATGTGCGAGAATCACAACATTAGGAAATTGCTGCGGTGCTTGGTGCAAGAAAAGGAAGATAAAAATAAGAGAGAAGAAAATATAAGAAGTAAGATAATAATCATGATAAAATAATAACATAAAGTAGCAATTATTAGAAAAACGGCTGAATATCCAGGACAGTGTAGGTACTGATCAGAGCAGATCAGTTCAGGTACAAACAAAACACTGGGTCAAGATGTTGAAAGGGAAGGAAAAGATCATTACTACCCTCAACTTTTTAATCCATATCACCAAGAAATTTTCCTTTAGATAAAAATGCCATTTGTTCAAACAGGTGAGAAACCTCCCACCCCTTTAGAGGATCTATAGCTCAGGTGGACCTCACAGATGGAAGATTAGTCAAGCTTAAACTGGCCACAGGATGTTGGACTTTATATCGCTCAACTGGTATTTAGGTATCTTTAATAGTTTTTTACACAACCAGAGTTTAATGTTATTTATTTTTTGACATTTTATTATAAAAAATTTGACTGACGGTTGATGATGCAACATGCTAACTTAAAATTTATTTCATTAGTGCAGCTTAAAAGATGAAACGAACATATGTGATAGACTCGTTCCATGCAAAGATATTTCAAGCCTTTATTTGTTATAATTGTGATGATAATGGCTCACAGCTTATGAAGACCCCAAATCTCACGGTTAGAATATTGTGAGTAGGATTAGAGGCCAACCAATATGGGTTCTTTTAAAGGCTGACGCCGATACCAATTTTTAAAGATTTTTGTTGCTGATTGTCGATATATGTATATATATATATATATATATATATATATATATATATATATATATATATATATATATATATATATATATATATATATATATATATATATATATAAGATAAGATAAGATAAGATAAGAACAACTTTATTTATCCCGAGGGAAATCCTTGTGTCATGTACATGCTCAAAGCAGTAGGAGAGACAAAGGAACAGGTGAAATAGAAATACGATATACAATATATACAGTAAAAAATTATCTACAGTAGTACCCTGTAGGATAGTGCAAAACAAACAATCGGATAACTCAACAAATAAATACATGACTGTATCCTGGTGAATAAGTAATTAAGCCCTCTGTGCAGGCGATTATATATATATATATATATATATATATATATATATATATATATATATATATATTAGCAACACATTGATTGTGAATGTGAAGTCAATAGATGTCTTAATATTTATTGAAATAAAGCAAACTCAGCCTTTGGATCCTTTCTTTAGTCTAGTAGTGGCGGCAGTTGGCCACACAGGTGCTTGATCATTTTAAATTTTTTTAATTGGCTTTTAAAAATAGTTTCGGCCGATATGGAAAAAACTGAATATATCGGCCGGCCAATAAAAAAGGATCAATATTCTATACTCAAAGTGTCACACTCTAATCAGCTTAAACCATCTAAAACACCTGAAACGGTTGAGCCAATCAACGGTATTATGTCCAGTATGTGACGATCTTCAACTAAATTTGTTCCAGGGCTGGAGTTGTTTCCAGCAGACACAGTGAGGGCCAGATGTTCTTCTTCAATAAAGTTTGAGTATTTTATCTAAATGTAATAATATTTAAAATGGCTTTGTTTTTCATCTAAACTGTTTTTATTGTAATTTTAGTTGTCTTTGGAGAATGTAAACAATTGATGATATTTGGGACATGAATTTTGCTGGCCCGGATGTAAAGGTCTGGCGAGCCAGATGTGGCCCACGGGCCACCTGTTGAGGTTCACTGCTTTAGATGTCTAAGATGAATTACTAAACAGACTTCTGTACCTTATTCTAGTTTCTTGAGTTTCATCTGTATAGGTTAGACATTAAAACTTATGGTTTTCTCTCAAATCCCATCAGAGGACAGTCCAAGCTCCCATACGCCTTATTCTCCCACTTATAGTTTAACTCAGACATTCTCTTTAAAATGGGAAGTATTTTTTACTTTTTATATATCCAAGATAAAACCCAGTGGAAACATAAAAATGGGCTGAGAACTCCTATTCTTGTCATGGTTTAGGAACTTATTTAATTTTGTGTTTAGTTATCTCAGAGCAGTTGCTTGTCTGGAGCTGAATTCCTGTCTTGCCTCATTAAGTTTGCTGTCATGGCATGAGTATACGGTGTACATTTTAGGACATGCTCAGGTTTCAGGATAACATTGTCACACATCAGATCAAACATCCTCAGACATGTGACCACATGAAGCATCAGGTTTAACTGAAAAACCATTAAACCACAGTGTTAGAATAAAATGTCTCTGACAAAATTACAGACTCTGATAGCACAGTCGGCTCGAGAAATAGCTCAACTTACTTTTTCAATTATCAACAACTGTGTGTGTGAAGTGAATAACGAGTCCGTGTTTTACTTCCTTTAGTGAGTCAATTAGAACCATAACAGCAAGCTAACAGTAAGTCGACAAACATCCATAGTTTCTTCAAGGCAACAGAATTGTTACCGTAATAAGTGTAGTATGTGCTCCCTAATGTAAAACACCTAAGAGTGCTAACACCAGATGTGACCATTTTCTTTAGCTACTTATCAACTTACTGTGTATGACTCATCTTTGCTTGTCATCTAGAATCTTCTGGTGATGATCCATAACTGGAAACAGCCATGAAACTCACAAAACGGCAGCGAGACAGAGGTGTTTTGCTTGGGAAAATAGACTGCAGTAACCAAATCTGACCACTGGATGACATTCTTACTTATTGCGCCTTTAAGTTACAGTTAATTTTTTTAATTTTACACCACAGAAAACAATGTTAGAAGCCTGAAACGTACGTTCTGCTACTGCTGCGTGTTGATGATGTATTCTGACAACAATTTGGCCGTGACTAATGGGAGGTGTGAAACAAATACAATGATTTAAATCAACTAACAACAACACCTGCAGAATGCTTCACTTGAGTCCACAATGGAGGTTATTCTGGTGGAGTTTTGTCTGAAAGAGTTTTCCTGAGTCTGTTTTGCCTGATGTTGATCAGTCTGAAGTCTGATGGGTTTTGAATGAAATCTGATGCTGTTTTCCTCTGTAGCTTGATGTCTGAGGCTGTATGTTCAGACAAGGTTTTCCTGAAATTGGATATCATAAAATGTATTCCATATGAATAACGGATTTGTGGTTACAATAGTGACTTAATGTTTCATCAGTGATCTCAATGAGCCACTTATTGCAACTTTTACATATATACACTATACTGCAGTATTTTGGTCTAAGTTTATGATATTACAAGTTAGGTTTGAGAAGTTCAGGAAAGAACTGAACTCCCAGCTTTAGTCTGTGAGGCAGACACCTTGTCTACTTTTAAGACTAGGGTAAAAACATTTTTATTCGATAGGGCATATGGTTAAAATCTGATGTTAGCCTAGATCTGGACAAGTGGGGGAGGAGAGGGAGGTGGAGTGTACAGTCGGTAAAGACGACTCTCCCTTGCCCTGCCTCCAACATGCCTCCATGTAAAAGGCTAGGTTATCCAGAGTTATCTCTGTAGTTATGCTGCTATAGGCTTAGACTGCTGGAGGACACACTGACCACTTTTCACACTCGACTACTTTCTTCTACAGTCTGCTCTTTAACTGTATTACTTTCTGCAATTTCAGCTGTTAACTTTATTTTTTCTCTAAGTGTTTTTCTCCCCAGAAGAAGCTACAATGATGTTCTGCTGAGCTGTGGTGGCCTCATGGAGGGGGCCATCGGCTTGAACACTGTTGCTAACCACTTGACACCGCTGCTAACCGTCTTCTCGATTCCTAGTGAGCAATGGCAGATGGCTGCTTATACTGAGCCAGGATCATCTTGAGGTTTCTTCCTGTTAAAAGGGAGTTTTCCTCTACACTGTCGCTGCATGCTTGCTTAGTATGAGGATTGCTGTAAAGTCACTGACTAGTGTCAGTGACTTTACATTAGTCACGGCCAAATTGTTGTCCAAATACATCATCAACATGCAACACAAGCAGAATGTTAGTTTCATGCTTCTAACTTTGTTTTCTGTGATGTAAATTTAAAAAATTAACTGTAACTTAAAGGTGCAATATGTAAGAATGACATCCTGTGGTCAGATTTGGTTACTGCAGTCTATTTTTCTGAGCAAAACAGCTCTTTCTCGCTGCTATTTTGTGAGTTTCATAGCTGTTTCTAGTTATGGATCAGCACCAGAAGATTCTAGATGACAAGCAAAGATGAGTCATACACAGTCAGTGACTTGATGCAATTTGCTGGGTTCCTTATATAGGAAACTTTTTACTGATTGGCTTAATGAACTAGCCTGTATTGTAATGTGCTTGCTTGGTATGAGGATTGCTGTACAATCACTGACACTAGTCAGTGACTTGATGCAATTTGCTGGGTTTCTTATATAGGAAACATTATTTCTGATTGGCTTAATGAACTGACCTGAATTGGAATGTTTATTATGTGAAGTGCCTTGAGATGACTCTTGTCATGATTTGGTGCTTTATAAATAAACTTGAACTGAATTGAATTAATGTTTACTGTGTGAAGTGCCTTGAGACGACTCTTGTCGTTATTTGGCGCTTTATAAATAAACTCGAATTGAATTGAATTGAATTCAGAAATTTTCAACAATTTGATGAGATCCTGAACCTTAAATTACTTCTGTCTTTCATTAACTATGAACCTAAATGCTGAATGTGTGCCTTGACAATAAATAGTTAATAATACAAAAATTAAGTTAAATTATTTTTAAAAAGGGTTTACAAACACACTCACCTCTCGGTCTCTCTCTATCTCCAGACCTGCATCGAGCAGGTTGGCCTCAAACTCTTGTCTGATCAGTTGCATCTCTTGGTCGGCGACCTCCATCGGTTCGCCCCCTCTTGCATTTCCAAGCTCCATAAACACCTCACCAACACTCGCTGGCTGTCCTCTTCCTGTTGCTGCATCCGACCTCGCTGTTGGAGGGAAGTTGCCATTAGAGACGACGGATAACTCGGCCCGTGAAACAGAGGCGCTGGCAGATCGTATGGAGCTATGGCGTCGATGATTGAACACCAGAACATAGTCGATTTTCCGTCGGCCATCGCCAAAGTAAAGGCCTTCGCAGCTGGCTTGAGGACTTGAAGCGGATTCCACAACCTGTTAAGATTCAAAAAGAGGGAATGGAAATATGAACCAGCAGTCACGTTACAGCACAATTATAACACATCAAACAGAAAATGATTTACAGGAAACATTAAAGCAGCAGGAGTTATGTAATAACTGAATGAACCTAAACATCTGATGCTGTCAGCACAAACCGACACAAGTGGCTTTTGGCAGGTTCTCAAAAACAATGAAGTGAGAACCTTCAGCACCAGAGTGGGCAGCTAGCTCACCTTTCTCTGTTTTAGTCTTTATTTAGACAGAAGGGAAGTATAGAGGGAGACTAAGCATGGAGAACACAGAATGGAGAGCCGTCCAAGAACCAGCATGATGGAAGGACTTTTACTCATCAGCAGGACAGGTTGATAGAAAACTGAGCTGCATCTTCATGAAAGGCTGGATTTACAGCACCAAAATCAGAAGATGATGCTGTATTTCCTGTATTTTAATTATTCTCAAATAAATCAATAAAATTATCTGGTTTCGAAGATCCAAGCTGGATAATGACACTCACATAAAGTCTTCACTGGATGTAAAACTGGATAACTCTTAGACACAATCCAAGTCAAGATGGTTACCACATAAACATGTATAACTCAGTCAATTGTGAACATAAAGAGTTAAAGTTTGGCATCATATTACCTCCAAGTTGTCCCCAAAACATAAAAAATTGCATGTAGCAGTCAATCACAACACAAGCTGAGTGATAACAGAACTCCATCATGAGATGATCTCAGATTCAAACTAGAGCAGCAGCGATATTCAAGTCAATCAAGAGGTTTTTGTTCGTTTTAGCTGGAATTTTAGCGTCAGGTGTCACTCGTCAAGCTGCAGATTTGTAAAGTGTCAAAGTAAAAGTCTTGAACTAAACAGGGTTGTTAAAAGATCAGTTGGGCTGCATGGTGGCGCAGTGGTTAGCACTGTTGCCTCGCAACACGAAGGTCGCAGGTTCGAAACTCGGCTGTGGCAATTCTGCGTGGAGTTGCGTGTTCTCCCCATGCATGCGTGGGTTTTCTCCGGGTACTCCGGTTTCCCCCACAGATCACAACATGCCCTATAGGTTAAAAGCGTCTGCTAAGCACATAAACATAAACATAAATGTACACCATCTCAGAGGAGCTGCAATGAGACAGTAAACACCGGTCAACTGTTGAATGAAAGAGATTTTACAATCTGCGTTTATTTATTATTTATGCCAGCAACGGGTCGACTGTTATGTTGTAAAAACGTAAATGCTGATCTGGTGATTCTTCCTCCAATGTCACTCTGCTGGTGGTCACGCCACTTGTTTGTTGGCTTTCCTAATCATGGGAAAAGTCCAAATCGTGATTATTTTGGTCAGTAATGAAATCAGGATTATTTATTTTACCTATTTAAACTACTTATAAAGATTAGATCACACCCAATTCAAAAGCACATGATGCTGCTGTGCAGCTCATCATAAGGGCATGAAGTGGTTTAAAGTGAAATTTATAAAGCACATTCTTGCCAACAATCAAGGCAGCCCAAGGTGGTGAACACAAAACAAAATCCAAAATTAGGGGGAAAAAACAAGAAAAATACTGAATATTGAATTTAACCCTTTGGTGCATAATGGTCACTACAGTGGACAGGTACTCAAAATTGTTATTTATTTGTTTTTGCTATTAAGCACAGCTGTTGAAGACTTTATTGTATTTGAGCCCCTCCATTTGGACTTCAGTAAGTCAAGCCAACATATTTCATGTTCAGAATGCACGTGGTCCACTAAGGTGGACCTGTAATAAATTATTTGTAAATTATAAAATTTTACAAAAAATATTTGTTGAAATTTGTTTCATTCACACCTAAAGATGAATGAAAAAAATTGTTAAAAAAATCATGGCTGAAGATTTCATAATTCATGCATCAAAGGGTTAATTGAATATATATTAAATAAAACCAAGCAAAAGTTTTCAGTGCACCTTGTTTGCCAAGTGAATAACAGCCAGGCAACACTTATAAACCTCTACATTAAAAATCATGTGTCAACAGAGTCGAATAATTAAAAACATCAGATCGTGACAGCACAATTCCAGCTGAACTCCAAATGGGGGTGGATTGATTTACCACACCAGGTAAGCAGTTCCATAGTTTTGGGGCCATCACAGCAAACGCACGATCACCATGACATTTGCGCTTGGTTTTTGTGACCACCAGCAGGTCACCATCAGCAGAGTGCAGTGATCGAGAGGGAACAATTCTCCTAAGAAGCACTGATAGACGAGGAGAAGCTGCACCTTTGAACGTTAGAAAACTAAAATCTGAATTTTAAATTCAATGTGCCACATCACAGGTAGCCATTCTAGTGCATGCAGAGCCAGTGATGATGTGTGATAGTAGGTGCAGAGTTGAACTGTTTAGTGGTGAATTGTTGGAAGATGACAATAAAATGTCATTCACCATAGTGCATCATTACATTTGTGTCCAAGTTGGTTTAAAGAGACAATTTGCAACTTTTTCACATTTTTTAATTATTTTCTTGAGCCATTATGTGCTAAAATGACCCTTTAAAGGGTAATGAAAGGCAACCAAGCCTCTATCGCCCCCCTGTGGCCAGAATATTTCACTTGCAACTTCAGAGTACGAGTCTGGTCTGTTGGACTGACATGCCTCGTGCTGCAGGCTGCTTCCAGGAAGTTTCCTGCATGTTTTAGATTATGAACACAGCTGATTAGTTTGATTTGGAGATGAATCACTTCCTAGACACTCGGGAAGGCTGGGGAGACACTTCAACTGTTAGATTAAGGTGTTAAAAAGACGAACACACAGAGAGGAGATAGGTTGTGCTTTCAGTGCTACAAACGGACACTAGGGGGTGCTCAAAGCGAGCCAAAACTGCCTGGTCTAGCTTAATTTTTTTTTCTTCTTCCACTAGGAGTCATTTTAGCTATTTTCGTGCATAAGGCACATTTTTATGTGAAAGACTCTCAAGGGTGGATCTACAGGGGTGGCATACAGGGCCTCAAATGACACCCTAAAAGAACGCCTGCTGCCACCCCAGATGGCAGCGAAATATTCTAGATGGGAAAATATGAATGATAATGCTGCAGGTACGATTACACAGATTTAAGCTGATAAAGTGATGACCTAAAACAAACATGTGTCTGGCTAGGTAAATACTGATGGAAAGAATGTGTTTGTGAGTGAACAAACTCAGTGCCAGCTTCATTAGTTAATGTCACTATTATTATTCATGAAAATAAAACATTTTTTTCATTATTAATTTTTTCAAAATCATTAACTATAAATGCATTATTATGTTGAATTTAGCATGAATTTTCTGGTCTTTCTGGTCTTCATGTTCGTGTGAGGAGAAGGATGAGAGAACACGCTCTGGATGAAATCACACAGCCTGAACCTCCCAGATAAATGCAGCTAAGTGAAAAATCTGTTGTTGACTTTGTAGTGGAGTCAGATTGTTCAGCTCTCTCTTCTTCCTCTCCTGAATGCTGAGAAAGTAGAGAAAACAAACAATCCTGCAACAGCACGGACTTCTAAAAGACCATTTGGGCAGACCATTCTGAGTTTTCGAGTTTTTTTTTTACCAAACTTTTGCAGCATGCGCGTGTCTCCACTGGACCGTACCAAAACGACCACCTTCCAGGCTGGGGTGTGTACTCAGAAATGGCCCAATAAAGTCACCAGGTGAAACTTTTAGATAACTCATGCTGATTGGTTGGAAAATATATCGGCAGCAATTGCCAAACGACTGGCTTTTATAAAACTGGAAGAGTTGCTGGTGAAGCTAAATGGAAAGAATAAAATAAGCAGTTTTGATTCTGCTTTAAAATGACTGTTTTTAAACTTTCAATGCTGAAAAATGCATCAGAAATCTCCCAACAACCACAATCTTCACCGCTTAGTGGTCTCATACAGAGAACTGTAAAAGAACAGCTGCTTCTTCTGGTCACGCCACCTACGTCATACAGACACTGTCCCCGAACCCTGTTGATTTAATTACAGCATACTTTGACAGAATGAAACCTTTATTGTCCTTAATGTCTGTGGATGTCTTCTGGGGCTGATCAGTGACATCGCTCACTGCCGAAGCTGTCGCGATATGCTGACATTTTAGCAAAGTCCTTAAAGGGCCGATTTGACGAAAGGGGGGAGGGGACCGAGCCATCGTGTTTTCCTTGTCACCTTCTCCCCTCCCAGAAATTTCCACGAACTTCTATAAAGGAAACGTGACTATAGAGACAACTCTATTGCCTGCTGCTAAACGTCTGACTACTAAATAAACATGGTACGCCATCACCGGGGTTTGCAATGAATCCTCTGTAGATTCATTTTTCACTTAAAAGGTCACCAACATTATAGAAGAGGGGCCTGTGCTGTATGTTCACACGGTAAACAAGTAGACACCTGTCGAATCGGTTCTGGCAATTTCATCTGCAAATAGCTCCAACTATTGTGCTACAAGTCCAGCTGGACCTCTCATTCACTTTCACACGCATGCTCATGTGACAAAACACACAATTTTCTTAGAAGGGGACGTTATACGTGCATGAATGAGTGTATGTACCGAGCTCAGTGAAAGAAGCCGAAATAATAATGAGCCTTTCACACAAAACTGATGCTACACAAAAACTAACAATGCATCAAAATGAATAATATGGCAGTTTGCTGACCTATGTCTAATTAAACGGCACATCCCTTGTTGTTATTGAATGAATCTGCATTCAGAAATTCTTTCATTAAGCTTGACTAAAATTTGACTGGAGATGTAAACAATGGAGATAGCTCATCAGTGATATAGTATTTGTGTGTGATAATAAATACTAAAGTAAAAACACAACACCTAACAAATCCTTTTCTTATGAGATGTTGATTTTTTTTAGGTGCATCCTTGAAGAAAACAGCTGTAGGATTGTGTCTTCCAACGGACGCTCCACTCCACAGGACACAACCTGGTGCCCTAATGGAGCTCTAGGAACTGTCCCTCAGGACTTGTGTTTGTTGGACACATCTTTTTTTTTTAAATATGTAAAGCAGATTACTGGGAAGATTCCCAGTTGGCCTGGTCTCGCTTGTACCAAGAAAACTTGTAAGGCGCAGATGTTTTTCCTGGGAAACGAAGGAGGAACGATCTGGGAACACGGAGGTCCCAGGAGACAGCATGAGGGCCCCAAACATGTTATTTTCCTGCCGTCCCTATTTTATCTTTCATTATTATTATTATTATTATTATTATTATTATTATTATTATTATTATTATTATTGAACCAAATTACTTATTAACTGAGAAAAGTTGAAAACGTTAAGTTGAAATAGCTTAAATAAGATAAATTACCAGTTATGAACCACTTATGAATAATAATCCTGGAGTCCATTATAAATGTCATGAATTGTAGAGCACTGTGATCATTAATGTCTATAAAATGTACAATGATTTAAAACAAAAACATTTATGGGAACAGAAATACCCACCGGAATCTTGTCTTCGCTCGGAGAGATCTGCATACTGTTGCGCTTTAAAGACATCCAGAGCGTGATGAGAAGAAGGAAAGGGGTGAGAAGAAGAGCGGGATTAAAAGTTGCCGGGTTTGGCAGTAAAATGCAGCCGGAATCATTTCCACCAAGGCGTCCCTCATCATATAAACCAGACTTCCGTAATATCTCTGGTGAGTCCGCAGGTTTTTCACGGAGCGACGGCTCACCTGCTTCAGGTTGCTCCGCTGCTTTCTAAGAATCGGGATGCAGAGCGACTGATCACAGCTGGTGCTGAACACCTCTACCAAACTGATCTGGAGGCAGCTGGCCTGCCCACCACCGGGGCTACAGCGCGTGAAGAATCACACTGTAAAAAATATCCTGCCTCAACACAGCATAGGCTGTAGTAGTAGTATTAAAAATAATAAATATAACAATATTAATAATAATAATAAATATAATAGCAACGTTTTCAGGTGAAAAATAAGAACAGAGAAATAAAATAAGAAAGAATCGTAAAGACAAAAAACTAAGAAAAATAACAAGAAATAATATTTTAGCATACATAAAGCTAGCCTGAATGTTTGATGGCTTATTTACCAAGTAGCATATTTGCCACATCAGAAAAAAGAATGATAACACAAGAGTGTATTGTTGACATTAGGACCCTGTACATGTGTAGCCGGGTACCCCACGATACAAAGATATTTTTCCACGGTTTGGTCTGTCATGCACGCAAAAGTGAAGGTAAACAGCACTAAAAATTATTCTTTCAAAAACCTGCAACCAAGGTGGAGACTTGTAAACTCTCAGTTGTCAGCATTTGATTGTGGCTGTAAAAAAAACATGTCCAAGGAATGTTTTCCTGCAATGTCACAAACGATTTGGGGAAATACTGCCTCTTACAGGCTTAACATGTGAGGTGGTGTGGACCTCATGGGTCGTGGGGAGGTGGTGACTATCTCCAGCTGTCTCCGGGCATGAAGGCGGGGTACACCCTGGACAGGTTGCCAGTCCATTGCAGAGCAACACAAGACAAACAACAAAGCACGCACACACACTCACACCTAAAACAGTTTAGAGAGACCAATGAACCTAACAGTCATGTTTTTGGACAGTGGGAGAAAGCCGGAGCACCCGGAGAGAACCCCCGCATGCACAGGAAGAACAGGCAAACTCCATGTAGAAAGACCCCCGGTCGGAATTTGAGCCCAGGACCTTCTTGCTGCAAGGCAACAGCTCTAACCACTGCACTACTGTGCAGCCCCGGAGGACATTCAGTTTTACAAAGTAGCCTAAGTCGAAATGTCTGCAGCATGACCACTAAAGAGAATGAACATCTCTGTTCTGCTGAGGAGGGAACCCAGCTGGAAGCTCTCGGTTTATCTGTTGTCTTCGTTCCAACTCACGTCTACGCTCATGAGCTTGAGTGACTGAATAAAAAATAAGATCCTTCATACAAGCAACTGAAATGTTTTTCCTTCACAGGGTGGGTGGATTCAGCCTTAGAGATCAAGGTGAGGAGTTCAGATACCTCGGAGGGAGTCAGAGTATAGCTGCAGCTCCTCTACAAGGAGAGGAGTCAGATGAGGTGTTTCCCTGACAGTAGGAGGCCCCTGCAGGTCAACCCAGGACATGCTGCAGGGATTATATAATTAGTTTAAATGGCAATGGCTCTAAGTCACTTAGCTCCTCCGGCAGGACCCCAAGGCGTTCCCGGACCAGATTGGAGATGTAACCTCTCCAACGTGTCCTGGGTCGACCCGGGGGGCATCCTGCCGGCAGGACATGCCCGAAACACCTCCCCAGGGAGGCGTCCAGGAGGCATCCTGACCAGATGCCCAAACCACCTCAAATGACTCCTTTCGATCCGGAGGAGCAGCGGTTCTACTCCAAGTCCCTCCCGAATGTCCAAGCTCCTCACCCTATCTCTAAGGCTGAGCCCGGCCACCCTACGGAGGAAACTCATTTCGGCCACTTTTATCCGCGATCTCGTTCTTTCGGTTATTATCCAAAGCTCATGGCAATAGGTGAGGGTTGGGACGTAGATCGACCGGTAAATTGAGAGCCTGGCTTTCTGGCTCAGCTCCCTCTTCACCACGACAGATCGGCTCAGCGTCCGCATCACCGACCCGAAGGCACAGGGAAGCTACCCTCTCGTCCCCCGAGGTAAACCCCAACACACAGGCAGAGAGTCTTGGGGCTAACAAAAAGCCAACCACAGCCCTCCGCCTCTCACCTGGAGCAACTCCAGCAAAGGAGAGCGTCCTTCCCCTCTCAAGGACTTGGGTTCCAGAGCCAATGCTATGTGTTGAGGTGAGTCCGACTATATCTAGCCAGTACCGCTCAACCTCTGCCACAAGCTCCTGCTCCTTCCCCGCCAGCGACGTGACGTTTCATGTCCCAAAAACCAGTTTCCTTGTCCGGGGATTGGACCGCCAAGGCTCCCGCCTCGGTCTGCCGCCCGATCCACACTGCACCGGACCCTTCATGTTCCTCCTGCAGGTGGTGGGTCCACAGTTGGATGAGCCCATGTATCCGGTTCGGGCTGGGCCCGGCCGGGCCCCATGGGTGAAAGTCCAGCCACCAGGTGCTCGCTCACAGGCCCCAACCCCAGGCCTGGCTTCAGGGTGGGACCCCGGTAACCCTCCGGGCTGGGTACTCCGACTCTTTCACTTTACCTCCATGAAAGATCCTCTGAACCGTTCTTGGTCTCACCCTTCACCTAAGACCAATTTGTCATGGGAGACCCTACCAGGGGCTCAAAGTGCCCCGGACAACATAGCTCCTAGGATCATTAGGGCACTCAAACTCCTCCACCACGATAAGGTGACGGTTCAAGGAGGAGCTTAACAGGCTTCTGCAGGGCTTTAGTGCACAAGTGAACAAGTGATTCAGCCATGGAATGGTGTGTTGGAGCAGGGAAATGACTAAAACATGCTGGACAGCAGACCACCCAGACTGGGAATGGTAATCGCTGAAAAACAAAGCCAGTGGAAATAAGACAATGAAGAAAATTACTTTTGTAAGAAAAAATAAATAAATCAAGGGAACAACATGAAACAAAAAATTAAAAAGCTCTGTTTAAAAAGTTCAAAACAACTATAGAACAAATGTTTACCTAATAAATAAGTGGCCAAAATGTTAAGTTAAACAATTTTTAAATAATAGTTAAAATAAAAATATCATCTTTTATTTTAGCAAATTTAAAATTTGTATTTGAGTTTCTAAATTCACATTTTTAAATGTATTTACATTTTTTTTATTATTATTATAGCTGTTATCTTTCCTAACATCCTCTGAACTTGAGGGGCTCTTTCTACTTTAAATAGCATTTGAGGTTGACATTTTTTACAGTGTGCAGAGAGGAGCGGCTCTCTGATGTAATTGGCATTTCTTCAGTAAAATCACTACCGCAGATTTGCATCAAAACTTCTAAAGTTTTTCATGCAGCTGAAGTGTCACACAGACTTTTGATCGTTTCATGCAAAAAAGTAAAGATGTAGAGTTTTTTATAGCAAAGAAGTATAAAATAAAAGCTAAAAATAGATAAACATCATAAGAAAACAGCTGCTTGTATCTACAACTTATATGTACTGCAGCAAAGGAACACCTTTATTACATTACACTGAGATGTCCTCTTATAGGTTAAAATGTCCTGGAAGAAGAAGAAGAAAGTATCATTTCTATAGCGCCTCTCAAGATAAAAATCACGAGGCTCTTCACAAAAAATGTAAAAATATAAAAAGCATTTAGAAAATGTTTAAAAATATATTTAAAATGAGCAAAAATAGACAATTGTGATAAAAAAAATGTTAAGAAAAAGAGAGAGTGTGAATAGGAAAGAGGGAAATCAGTGGATCCTGAGGAAGGTGGAATAGGTGGGGAGAGCAGAATAAAGAGAGAGTGGTGAAGACGGTCATACAAAAGCCAACTTGAACAGGTGAGTCTTCAGCTGCTTTTTGAAGGAGACCACTGAGTCCACTGATCTCAGGCTCAGGGGGAGAGAGGTCCAGAGTCTGGGGGCCACAGCAGCAAATGATCTGTCACCTTTGGTCTTTAGCCTGGTGCTGCACAACCAGTAGGCTTTGATCACTGGACCTCAGGGACCTGCTGGGGGTGTAGGGACTAAGAAGATCACCAATGTAAGATGGTGCTTGTCCATGTAAGGCCCTATAGACCAGAACCAGGATCTTGAAATGAACCCTGAACCCTGGACACTGATCCTTATCTGGAGCTGTTTCCCAAAACGAGTGTAAACTTTACCCTGGAGTTATTTTGCAAGAACTACACACAGAAACCATGTCAAAAACAAAACAGTCGGCCTCCATAATTATCACAGAGAAAGCTGAAGCCATTTTAATAGGACATTGTGCTAACTCATGAAATGGTGCAATACCATGAAACACGTTACACTCATCATTAGCTCCATTAAACAAGTTGCTCAGTTTGCACATGAGCTGACTTTTCACCCAAACCAGATCTGGGACAATCCTCACCTGCAGCAGACTCTTGGATTCTTCAGCCCAAGGATCTTCCCTATGAGCCTGCAGCTCCAGGAGACTGTAGGGCATCGGCTTCAGTCCGACCCCGGACATGTCCCTGGTCAGGCGGAACAGGGCGTCGCTGTGGATGGACGACGACTCGCTGAGAGCTGTGACCGGTTGTCTGAAGCCGGCACCATTGGGCCATGGCTCTGGAAGACAATTAGTTTGGAAAATGAGGGGCAAGAATAAAAAAATCCAGGTCAGGATAGTGATCATGTATATTTCCATAAGGAAAGCAGGGTTTCCGAAGGGAGCAGAGTTCTGTGGAGAGATGTCTCCACGTGCTTAGAATTAGACACCGAAGTCCAACAGTAACAAGGCCGGTCAGGTTCACAGCTCAACAAGAGATGTAGAAGAACGTTTTCAAAGGCCTACCATTTATTAAAGGATGCCAAAGTTCGATATTTGGCCAGTTTGGTTAATTTAGAAAAATCTCAAATTACAGGCGTCATTTGTTTAAGGCACAAAGCGCTGCTATGTATCGAATTTAACAGAAAAAATGCAACAAACGTGAGATAATTTTGACAAAAGTGCTAAATGGCTACAATGCTAAACTAATGGACTTTGAGTTAGCATACATCACACACATGTTTCCATTATTTATGGTTGAATTTGTATCCCTTTGCAATGTTTAAACAGTGAAATTTGAAATGTATTGATCCTCAACAAGCCCAGTATTTTGGTGCTTTCTTAATTGATTTCATTTTCAGTCGCCTCTTTGTGTCTTTGGAGCAGCAAATATGCTAAGTGGCCCGATGATGAGGCTTTCCTTCCCGCTG